CAAAGATCCACCCTGCCGCCGCTTTGCCTGTTTCGACCAAAACCCAGCGCGCGGTCCCATGGGCAGCTACCGGTCTCACATTTTTCAAAGAAACTGCCACCACCCCTCAAAGTGTCGTGCCTGCACCTGCCTGCAATTTTGAACCTTCCAACGACCAAACGAGCCCGAATCAACAACCGATATAATGAAGGACGACAAAAATGTCTCGGGTGGAAATGTCTCAAGGGGGGAAAATGCATCCCTGACAGACGGGCTGCGAACTTTTCCATTTTTCCACCCTGCAGCTGCTTTGCCACCGTTTTGGACCAAAACCTAGTGCGCAGTCCCACAGGAAGCTACCAGTCCCGCATTTTTCAAAGAAACTGCCACCACCTCCCAAAGATCCACCTTGCCACTCTTTGCCATTGTTTCGACCACAACCCAGAGCACGGTCCCACGGGCAGCTACTGGTCCCGCATTTTTCAAAGAAACTGCCACCACCCCCCAAAGTGTCGTGCCTGCACCTACCTGCATTTTTCGAACCTTCCAACGACCAAACGAGCCCGGATCAACGACCGGTATAACGAAGGACGGGGAAAATGTCTCAGGGGGGAAAACACACCCCTGACGGGCTGCGGACACGAATAGCAAAATTGTAGCGGACCTCTGATTGGTCTGTGAGACCAGCCCCTTGGCCTGTTCTCACAGGCCTGTGTTGTATTTGGGGTAGTCCAGTCCAGGTCGGTACCTCTGTCGGTACCAGCCAGTCCAGTCCAGTCCAGTCAGTCCGCTGGGGTATACCCCAGCTATGGATCCCCCGCGGTCATGACCGCGGGGTCAATCTCGGCCCGCGGTCGGGATCCCGACCGCCGAGGTCGGCTGCGGGTGAGGGCCGTGGTCGGAAAACCCCGACATTTTTAATTCCTAGGATAATAGGCCAAAAATATATATATATATATATATGGGGTTGTAGGTTGTTTTGTGCTCTACAACCGTATATTTTTATTTTTATTTTTTGACTTCGTTTTGGATTTAAAAAAAATGAAAAACAGAAATCCCTCGCGCAAAAGTTCTTCACTTTATACTTTTAGTAAGAAAAATAAAGGATTTTGTTTGTTTTTTATCTCAAATTTGGCAACGAATTTTGATATGACCCCAAGGCGCCTGGGCCTTGGGGGATCGTACGGGCTGCTGCGATTGATGCTGCGCGGTGCCAGAACCTACGGTCGGGGTGGCGGAGGTGGACGGGGAGAAGAAGCGCAAGGGCGCAGGGTGGGGACCGCCTCGAGGAAGCACTGACATGCTTCTGCCATAGCCTGGTCCCAGTTGGTGTAAGCTAGCATTCCTGGAGAGACTACGTGAGGAAGGAGGAGATGTGTGGTGGTCTGAAGGGCGGGATCTGGGTGCCGTACATACCAGTATGTGAAACCTGTCAGGGATTTTGTCCCCTGACTTTGATACGGAGCTGAGAGACGTGTGTGCATCAACAAGCGCCGGCTTCCGGGAGAGCGACACCAGAGCTTGGCGGTGACCGGTATCGCCCACCGTCGCTGACAACGGGCTTTAAGCTGTGATCTGCGTCGCTTTGTGTTGCTGATAATTCCTACTTCGGGCGTGGTGTGCTCTGAGATCTCTTCGTCTTTATTTGGTTTTGTTTTCGCGTATATTACGACCGATAATTGGCTTGCGTTTTACTTACTCTTGGGTAGAATTCCGTTCGTTTCTTTGTGTAGCTTGGGCTGGTGGTGTAGATCTTTCGGTAGTGTTTATTTTTCGATGGTGTCAGTGGTCATTGTTAGGGTTATTTGCGTTAATTAGTGCTAAAGATTTTTCGGTACTGTTTTCTTCTCGATGGTATTGGTTGGTTTGTGCTTTATTGTTAGGGTTATTGGTGTTAATTAGTGCTAATTAGAGTTTGGAGCTCATTTAGGGTAGAGTGGGGTGTGACTCAGCCCCGGTGGGGTTGATCCGGGCCGGTGAGCCTGGTTCATCGCCGCAGGCCGTGGTTATTGATGTGAGGGACGCTGGGCCCGTTTCCCAGCTTGTGACAATATAATATACTCCTTTTTGGTATTAAAAAAAAAAAAAAAACAAGTTGTTCAGTTTATTTTTTTGCATAATTCTGAATTTGTTTTCTTGACCGTGGACCGCGGCACCGTGGGTACGGCCGCGGGGGATTCATAGGATGGCGTATGAAAAACAATGCAAGTGCTATACATAGGTAAGAACAATGCAAGTGTGACACATAGGTGGTGGTCAGGCCGTCCAGCTTGATGAGCAATGGGCAGATCCGGTACACATATACACGCATGCATCACTCTCTCTCTCTCTCTCTCTCTCTCTCTCTCTCTCTCTCTGTGCCTCTTTGTGTGTGTGTGTAGCCCTATCTCTCTCTCTCTCTCTCTCTCTCACACACACACACACACACTCACACACAAGCACGCGCGTGGTAAGTCCTTATCCATCGGTCAGTCAAATGCAGGTGAGTCTGTAAGAGTCCGACCAAAGGGCTCAGTCATGTTGCTTTTGTGGAGTCATGTATAGCGAACATGACAACACACACACACACACACACAGTCATGTTTTGGTTCGTGGAGTTGTGTATAGCGAACATGACAACACACACACACACACACACACACACACACACACACACTGTCGAGGGTTCAGACTCCGAATGAGTCGGTGAGAGTCCGACAAAGCTAGTCTTCACCCCCGTGTCCGTCTCTACGACTCACTTCCTGTGTTTCTGTGCATCAACACAAAATCATGATCCAGAGATCTGTCGTAATCGCCCGTTCATGACTTTGTTTCTGACTTCGAGGAGTGATCCAGCATCTGCGCTTGATGCATGATAATGAGCCGCCTTTCGCCCGAACGTTTCAAACTGCCAAATGGAGGCGTGGGTCTGCGGACCTGACACGCACTCGAGATATAACTTAGGGCCCTGGGCTGCAACTGCGCTACTGAACACGATACTTGAAGAACTGCAGCCAAGAAAAAAGAAGCGAGTGCAAGGCCTCGATTGTTTCTCCCCCATTTTCCCTTTTGAACGTATACTTAGGCGTTTCGCACGTCACATGGGCACTCTTCCCCATCTTTCCCTCTCTTCTCCTGCTCCTGCTCATCCAACTCACCCCTTCCTTCTTTCACGTGCTTGCCTTCTCTTGTGTTCCATTCCCCCAGGCTCAGAATATCTTATACCGTCCATGGTTAGTCTTCTGAATGCCCGGGCGTGGTTCCGGAGGAACCGTTAGTAACTCCTAATATAACTTGTCTTTTCCACGACTGAAACCAATGTGCTGCGAAAAAAGTTGGACTATCAGGACGACCACTTGTGGGGGGGACACGATCCAAGTTGCAAGCCTGCAAGGCTGCAAGCCATATCTCTGCGACAGGTGGTAACTTGAAGTTGGAAGTGTGTGAGGTGGCTTGGAAGTATGTTGCAATGATTGTCGTCTGTGTTGATGCGCCTGACACCTTCCCCCAAGGCTCCTCCACACTGCAAAGCCAAAGGATCATCAACTGGACAGATCCCCGCGATGGGTGACCATCCATCCGGGTAGCCAAGCAGTGTGTTGAGCTGTCCATGCCTTTCTTCCCCTGTAAGCTTTGCAAAGGGAGCTGGTATCATGTGCACTGGTACGGTTATATCACACCGATCATGATGTTCTTCAATCTGAAGAGGAGAGCCCAGGGCCGCTGTTGATCAGGATTGACAAGTCTCTAAGTCGTAGGATGGGCAAGATACACGGGGGAAGTGCTGGTGCTGCACCATCAGCTGGCACAAACATACTCATGCATCTGGACGCATCTGACCAGAGTCACGGCCAGATTCCGCCAGAAAGCTCTATTGTGGGCATGTCCTCAGATAGAGACGGGGAAAAGCAAAACAAAGCGAGGGAACGGTGTCATACGCGACGAGATAGCCGCCCACCCTGTTGGCTAATGCGACGAGAAATGCTACGCCGCCGATTTGGCATCGCAGGCGGAGCGAGGGTTCGTAGAGCGGGCAGCACCGTCGGGGAAAGGGTGTGTAGACAAGGGTTTTGAATAGACACGGGGGTGGGGGGGGGACGAGCCGCCGAGTTGAATTTTCACCGACTCATCAGGAGGCTGAACCCTATATATATATATATATATATCTATATAAAACGTAGGCAGAGAGGGAGAAGAGGACAACAAACGAGGGGCTGTGATATAGTTTCTGAGGAGCATGAACTGAGCGCCGTAGGTCATGTTGGATCTTCCCCTTGCCGGGACGGTGCCAAACATCGACAGATTTTGACATACAGGTGTTGGTGTTTGCTGGCAATCGCTTCCCAATTCTCTTAGCTCACAGGAGTACCGTTACCGTGCAGGGACCCTTCAGGAACTGTTGTCGTCATTTGGCATCATAATCTCCTCCACTCTCTATCAGTAAGTGTTAGAATTGGTAATGAGCTCTACTCTCTTGGGAGCCCCTATGGCGCTTCTTCCCCTTATCCGTCTAATCACCGGCGACTGCTCTATAGTAGTCTTGATTACAAACTCCCTGCAGCGTGTAGTGGTTTTGCAGCTGAAAGGAACCGTTGGCAGTCGCCGTGAGAGCTGCAGTCACCGTTAGTGGTGGCCGTAAGCGCTGCAGTCACCGTTTGCAGTTGCCGTAAGAGCTGTCTGTAGTCACCGGTAGTCGCCGTCGGAACTGTACTCAGCGTTAGTTCTCGTCAAAGGTATTAGTGACCGTCTTCACCCGAATTGAACACCCGGTCAGTATAGCGGTATTTGGGCCAACCCGCAGTCCACATGCAGTGATTATGACAAGGCCTTGTATTCGGGTGAAGAAGGTAGCGGTTACACAATTGAATGACATTATAACAGTCAGCCCTCTGGAACTAGCAGCCAATTTAACGATCATCACCCCTCCGGATGAATGAGGACGCTGTTTATTAGTTCATCTGATTCCATCGGCATTCGAACTCAGGCTGTTGATCAACGGTTACGTGATCAGCGTACCATTCAGCGACACGCGCTCGGTGCACTGGCAACCTCCGGTGCTAACACAGACTTAGTGCCTCGCCGCACCACTCACCACATGCAGAGAAATCAAAATTAATGGCGGCGTATCTTTCCATGCTCTTTCCATGTTCTTGCTACAAACTTGTCTTCGTACGATCTGTGCTGCGGCTGCTTACAGCTACGTAGTTATCCACGTGAACTCGCAGACAATTCAACGATACATTCTCTCAAGGATACGCAACTTGCTGTGGTGGCGGTGGCGGTGGCGGTGGCGGTGGAGGTGGAGGTGGAGGTGGAGGTGGAGGTGGAGGTTGTCATAGCAGTGGGAAGGAGGAGGGGGAGGAGGCTCTCAGGCCTTTGCAAATAGCAGCGTTATGGGGGTTGTGTAACTTGCAATCATAATGGCGCTTAATTCCGTCGAGGAGAGGATGATCTGCTATTGCGATCCGTTGGAGGCGACCAGCAGCACCTTGTCGAGCGTGTACGCTGGCGAGAATCCCTTGAAAACGTCGATCGTGTTGGTACTCCTCGCTCAGATCTCCATGTCCGTGTTGTTGAGCAGAGGGATACATATTTTGCTACGTCCCCTTAAACAGCCTCTCCTCCTCTCGGAGGCCATAGCTGGCATCCTATTGGGTCCATCATTCTTCGGCCGGATCAAAAGTTTCCGTGACATTTTTTTTCCTAGCTGGTCAATCATGACTTTGGGCGCAGTTGCTGACATTGGTATCATCTTCTTGGTGTTCTTGGTCGGCGTCCACGTGGATTCTTCCAACCTTAGAAATTTTGCGCGGGCTATTGGCTTGATAGCACTAGCAGGCTTTCTTATCCCATTCGCCACCGCCGCTGTCACGTCTTTTATGGTGTGGGAGGCGCTTGGCGTCGTTACAACAACACAGGGCGAGCTGTCCTTCCTGATAGGCATCTCGTTGAGCGTGTCCGCTTTCCCATTCCTCTCCAAGATTCTAGAAGAGAGGGAACTCCTTGCAACTACCATGGGGCAACTAATTCTCCCCGCCTCTGCACTGATCGATGTTGCAGCTCTCTGGGCCCTGTCCTGGACCATCATGTTCTTGAACAACATATTGCAGGTCAACGTCCTCCTATTTACCTTGTCATCGACTGTGTCTTTCATCATCTTCAAGCTGACCGTCGTCGGTCCCATCATCGAGGAAGTCGGCCAGCGCAGCAGGAGCCTCGACTCCGTTCCGGATCTCTGGATTGCCTTCACACTGGTGAGTGCCCTCGGTTCGTCCTTCATCAGCAACTTGTTAGATATGCCTCCAATGTTCGGGGCCTTTCTGTTTGGCCTTCTGGTACCGGAGGGGACACCTCTTGCCACTGCTGTGACAGACAAACTGGAGACCTTGATTCTGCTCTTCGTCCCCCTATTTTACCTCCGTATCGGCCTGGACTTCGACATCGACACCATTAATTCCGGCCCCATCTTTGGCGTCTTTCTGTCCACGTTCATTGTTACGAATATTTCCAAAGTAGTCAGCTGTGGGGGGGTGGCAATGTACTTGGGTTTCGGTAAGAGAAGGTCCTTGGTACTGGGTGTGCTCATGGCCTCCAGGGGGTTGATGCAATTGATCGTTACTAACACCTGCTTCAATGCACACCTGATCAACCCGCGCACGTACTCGTGGCTGGTGCTGATGGGAGTGGTTACCGACCTCTGCGTATCGCCCATCGTGGGGGAACTGTACAGCGAGAAGGATAGGGTGGAGCAAGACTTGCGATACCTGCGCATATATGAGACAGTGACCACCGGAAAGAGGGACCCCTTGCTGGATCCCTTCTCTCATCTTCATGTGCTACTGTGGTTCGACAGCTTGAAGGTAGCACCTTCAATGGTCACTCTGATGGAGATGTGTAAGGGGAGTGACCTCAAGGGGAGCCATCTCAAGGTGCATATAGCTTACCTCTTCAGTCTTTCGTCTGCTTGCGCCAAGCCTTCCCAGTTGATGGCCATCAACGCGGACGATATAAGGACCCGAATGGTCAGATGGAAACGCGTTCCTCTGATTTACAAGGCCTTTGGAAGGACCAGCGAGGTGAAGCTTCAGCCTTCTCTGTCTATCACTACCGATGATGACATGCATTGGGACATTCTCTCGGTCGCCGAGCATAAGCATGCAGACGTTATCTTCCTCCCTTATCACACCTCGGGTTCTGGGTTGCCCGGCCTGCAAGCCGTGGACATCAGCAAATCCAACAAGGTAGTCCTTGACGTGCTTCGCATCTGCCCGTGCAACGTTGCAGTATCTATCGCTCCCATGCAGAATGGGTCAGAAGAGGCCCTCAAAGCTGTTAGGGGCATGTTAGGGGACCCTGAAGACGACAGCATGCCTGCTAAGTACTCTGTCCTGGTCCTCTTCTTTGGGGGCCCTGATGATCGGGTTGCTTTGGGGCTAGCTGGGCGATTCTTCCAACATAAGAGGATTGACGTCCATGTGATAAGATTCTTGCCCCAGCAGGACACACCAGGGGCAGACGACTACTTCAAGGCAAGTGCCTCGTTGAGTGCCTTGATGGATTCAGAGAAGACGTCTCTGGAAAAGGAAAAGGCACTGCGGGAAAAGAGTGAAAAGAATGAAGGGACGGAGGCGGCGTCCCCACGGCGGAGCTCAGAGAAAGTCCTGTCACTCCACAGAGCGGAGCTGCATATGGACCAAACGGCCTTGTCTTTTTGGTGTCTACACCGGTCTGACAACAGCCAATCAGTGACAGACGATACTCAGTCATACAGGAAGAAACGAGGGAGAATGAAGGTAGAGATGCAGACAGTGCATGACCCTCTGGCAGCTGCAGTCGTTGCAGCTTATGAGAAGGACTACGACCTTGTGCTGGTGGGAAGGGGTCATATAAAGCCTCCTCCAATCATAGCCAAAGCTGCTGCCAATCTTCGGGCTAGCAATACACGTTTGATCCTGGGAAAAGTGGCATCCTCCCTGTTTTCCGCCGCTGCCAAGATGACTACCGTACGTGAGCGACACATTCTCGTTGTTCAGAAGGGGGAACCGAAGAAGTCTGGCCGCCGAAGCAAAACCAAAACCTTGTCCGTGAGCAGCTCCAGGGGTTCTCTGCTAGGGTCTATTCTTGGCTCCAGACTTTCTGCAATTTTATCCCCAACGAATCACTCGTCATTGCCTGGAGTGAGTGAAGCCCCTGCAGCTCCCCCCCGAACGCAGCGCCGGTCATTGGATACAGTGAGCGAAGTCATCCCTGAACAGTTTGCCATGGTGTCATCCCCAGGATTAACTACTGGCACAGGAGGCATTGAAGGTAGCTCCGCCCCTACTGAGCCTTCAGCTTCTAGCCCTACTAATACTGAGGTAGATCCCATGCTGCTGGCCATGCTGTGAGAGCACATGTGCACCATGGCATTCTAGGATGCACATCCCTGCAATTCCTGGCAAGTTAACTCAAAAGAGTTCTCGTCTTGCATCAGTATCTGGTCTCCTAGAGAATGCAGATGTTCATTGGTTGGTTGATTGACCATTTTTGGTGTATCATGCCTGGAGTAATGCGGAGAGTATGCCTGAGCCCCGGAGCAGACACACTGTGTGTGGGATTTTCCTGAAGTATCTGATGGTAGTTCCAACCGGCCTGTGTACCTCTGATAGCAACAACCTTTGTTCTGTTCAATTCAAAAGAGGTGTGACTGACTGAAGAGGCACAGTTCTCGCTGGTAAATACCACTGCTGCAGGGTGCGGTGGTAGGTAGTAATGGAGAGGGGGAGTTCCCTTGTTGGTTCTGGGCTCTGTCAGGAACGAGGGGCAGTCAATCCCCCTTGTGAAGGGCAATCAATGCTGTCCCTCCTTGTTCATCGGTTTCAATGATTTTGCTAAACCACCAGTGCGTTCCCAGCTATTTTTCTCTGTCATGGCTACTTGCATGCCACAACTTTCAGGGGTCAGCTGCTGGAGCAAAATGGCTGGCGGCCCGCACTGGTTCATTTTGTTCAGCACGCAGGGAGATCCGAGCCCCAGGAAAAGTGCTCGGAAGTACTGGCGGTTTAACGAGTGCTTTTGTTTCTCCTTGGAGTTGATTGTTTCAGTGAAGGCAGGTGACGAGGTGGTGAGAGGCTGGATCTGATTTCTTGCTTAGCCGGAGCTGGGTAATGGCTCCAGCAACTTTACCGCGTCGAATTGCATTTCTGAGGTCCCGGTCTTTTGTGGAAGTGCTGAAATAAATCTGTGTTTTCCCCCAAAAAGGGGAAGACAGGGCTGAGGGGAAAGTACGTACAGTAAAGAGGAAACATATACATGCAAGGGGTCAGCACACATGTTAGCATCATACCTTTAATCATTTTGTTGCAAACGGCACCACTCCCTTTTTGTGACTGCCCTCTTGACCTGGGTCAGTTTCTGTAGATGGAATGAAAAACTGTAGGTGTCAGTAGGTCCCAGACTGGCCATCCAACTGACCAACTTGGAAGTTTGGGGTTGTAAATGCTCTCGTGGTAAAATTGAAGTGGTGGTTTGAAGGTGGCGTAGAGTCGTAGACCAGGGATCTTGTCCCACTAGCTCCGTTGAGCTAGGTCAACGTTGGGCTTTCGACGATTTGTGACTGTACGCTGCAACGGAGATGCACGTTGTCCAAGTCATCTAGTGGTCCATTTTTAATAAAAAAGGCAATAGAGACTATCTTTGCTTTTTTTTTTTTTTTTTTTTTTTTTTAACGAGTCTCAGAATGTATCTGCTGGAAATCGGGTCCAGCATCCCTGTACTGTGATGTGAATGTATCTGCTGGAAATCAGCCCAAGCACCCCGATGCAGATCCACGAAACCCTAACAAAGATGTGATACATGTCGTGTATGTAATGTATGTGTGATGTGTATGTGATGTATGTGATGTATGTGTTCTGTATCTATCAAAATCTAAGCCGAAAACCCTAACAAATGATATGATGTGATATGTATGATCTTTATCAATCAAGACTAAGCGCAAATCTCTACCAGTGATGAAATATGTGTGATATGATGTGTGTGTACTTTATCAATGATATAATCTGTCCGAATATTTCCAAGATTAGCAGAGGCATTGATTACTTCCCTGCGACAGGGAAGGATTGACCTCGTGCCCATGAAGTATTATCCTTTCTATAAAACCATCGGCATCGATCACCCCAGGTGGGCATCTATCCTACTCCCACCCGATGACCGACAGAGAAGAATGAGTCACCATGTAGAAACAGCAGATTGAAGGGGGGAGAAGCGGCAGATTGATCCTTCAACCCCAAGCCCCATCTCGCCAGGCACATCACTCCGCATATAACCCTCTTATCTGTGTCTACTCGACTCCCCACCACGTCAGCAAGGGGCTTCTTTCCCGTCGTGCTGATGCTCTCTGCCCTGCTGCTCCCGTGGTCGTTGCTGCCACCGCCGTCCCCGCTTCCACCGCCGTCGTCGTTGCCGACATCCTCGTAGTTGTTGTTGTTGTCATCCCCATCACTGTTATCATCCCCAATCCCCACATCTCTATCGCCATCATCGCTGCCACTGCCGTCACCATCATCGCAGTTGTTGTTTTTATCATCCCCATCGTCGATGTTGTTGTTATCTGCCCCAATTCCCACCGCATCGCTGCTGCCATGGTCATCGCTGCGGTTGTAGTCCTTGTTGTTGATGTAATTGTTGACAGTGTTGTTATTGTTGTTGATGCTGACATCGTTGTCGCTGTGACCGTTGTTGTTGTCGTTGTTGTTGTTGTCGTTGTTGTTGTTGTTGGAGTCGTTGTTGTTGCTGATGTTGTTGTTGTCATTGTTGTTATTGCTAAGCCGGTTGTTGTTGTCGTTGTCGTTGTTGTTGTTGTAGTCGTTTTTGTTGTTGATATTGTTGTTGTTGTTGTTGTCGGTGTTGACACCGGAGTTAGCCTTGTTTTCCTGCGCTCCATTCTCCTGCCAGTTCTCATCCTCCATGTCCTCGTCGCCCATCAACCGCTCCTCCAGCTTATAGTGCAGGTTACGGCCCTCAGCGAAGAGGGCATAACAGGTAGACATCATACCATGTGCCCTCATCCAATCGATGCAGGATTCTAGCTGGGGATCCAGCCCCTCCTCTAGCTCCCAAATGATGTCCAGCATGTCGTCGGCCATATTCTTCACCCAGCCAGCCAGAGAGATCGCCGCCGCTATGTCCTCTGGCTCCTCATGCGATCGCACAGACAGCTCGCCCACCATCACCTGTAACCTCCTGCATCCTTCTTCCAAGGTCATCAGCCATGTAGCTCCCCCCCCAACTCCATTTCTAGCCCAGATAGCTGTGCCCCTCTTGTGTTTCCACTTCAACGTCACGGCTGGCGCTACCCCTGCCCGCACGTCACGGGACGGCCACGTCCTTTCTTTGCTTTTTCTTACAACAAAAAGCATAAGTAAATCCTTTCTCTCGAATACTACTCCCCCTACCCTCGCCACTTTTAGCTCAACGACTCTCTTGTTCCCCCAAAGGGCGATTTTTTAGAGAAACTGTGCGAGCCTCCTTCCGTTTGCCTTTTTTTTTTTTTTCTTCTTTTTTTT